CGAACGCTCGACCTCCTGCACAACATGTCCAGCGCACTATCCATTAGGCTACCTGGGTGGCGGCTATTCAAAGCTGAAACAGACATAACAATAATAACAATAATAATAATAATAATAATAATAATAATTTAATATCTATATTGCGCAAATTAATATGTGGATATGATCAAATGCGCATCACGACAATTTTCGGGAGACTTTGGCCGGACTGCACCAACAGTTTACAAACAAACGAAGGAAGCTTATTTGAAGATGCCCCCTCTCCCCCAATTCCCAGTAAACAGGCGAGACCACATCACAGTAATCTCGTGAATGGGTTCTTTAACGTCCCCTGCCTAACCCAATTAACTAATTAATAGATGCAGGAGACGGGACCTACGGTTTATTCGTCCTTATCCGAGAAGACTAGAATGTTTATCCATTTCTTAATAAAGAAAGGTAGCGCATTCTCCTCAGTTATTTTAAGACCTCGAGTGTTGGTCCGGCCGGAGCTCGAACCATCGACCTCGACCTCCCGCACAACAGTCCAGCGCTCTAACCAATTGAGCTAACCAATTGAGCCAACCGGGAGGCGGTTGTAACTGTTAGAGGTGGAAACCTCTTCGCCCATTCTCTCAATCTCTCTGAAGACTTAAAATTCACTTCCTGAAAGTTTTGGAAAGAGAAGAGGCGTTCAAAAACGCCAAAAGTTCGATTGAATCGGTAAAATTATTCCCTAATTCCTGTGAACGTTCACATTTCTTCTTCTTATCCTCATATTATGCCTTGTCATCTCTCTTGTTACATCACTTTTGGCCATCTCAATGGTCCTCTTTTATAGATTGTCTGAAAATCTCTAGACAACTCACAAGAATTCTTTGAGGCGAGAGGTTCAGTTGCCTCAAATCTACCTGTAACATCAACAACTGTCAATGCATACTTACGGATGTTTCTTCCTCTCGGAAGTCTGTCATGAGGAAGGAAAAGAAGATCAGCTTGGTGAACTGCATTTGGAGACTCAACATCAAAAGTTGGTCTCGGTATATGAAAAAGACAAAAAAGCGAAAAACAATTTAAAAATTGAGCTTATGCATGCTTTTAACATCCATCATTCGACTTCTGACGTCAAGTGGAAGAGGCTGACCTGTTTCTCGACTACAATATTTCAAATCTGTCTAGGAAAGTCAAGTCTTCATTGAGGGATCTATAGCAGACTCACACTTGACTTTGAATGGAAAACGCCTGAG